GAAGGAAATGTCAGTCCTTGGGATGTTACCAAACCTTGAGGTTCTCAAATTGGAATATCAGGCCTGCATCGGATCACTGTGGGAAACAACTGACGGGGAGTTTCGTCGACTCAAATACTTGAGACTGTATTACATGAATGTTGAGCAATGGAACGCCTCCAGCATTCATTTTCGAAGCCTTCAGTGTCTACTGCTGCATAGATGTCGTAAACTCAAGGAGATTCCATCTGAATTAGGGGACATATGTACACTGCAGACAATTGAGGTAAGTTGTTGTAGTGATTCCGCCGTAAACTCTGCCAGAGAAATTCAGAAAGAGCAAGAGGGCATAGGAAATGATTCATTGAAAATCATTATAATAAATCCCCCGAGTTGGGAGCTCGTGACATGTTCTCAAGTCTGTGTTGAGCTCCAGTGAATGTTGGCTTGACAATTGAGTAAGTAATTGAACTCATTAAATTTGATACTCATTTATATTGTATTCGTCTTAAACATTGCATCGAGTGGAATGATTCATAAATGGGTAGTTGTTCAGAAATTCAGCTGAGTTACAAAATATTAGCAATTTAAATACTCCTTTTTTTTTTTTCTTTTTTTTTTTTTTAGTACACATGTTTCCAAAGTAAAAGAAAATTTGGCAGTTAACTTGTTCATCACTTGATCAATTCATCTGATAAGTGGGAAAAGAAACATGGTATGTTTTTCAATTTATAATATGTTGCAATAAAACTGAAAGCTAATTTGTTCTTAGAAGATGTGCAATTGTATTACAAAAATCTTCAATTTGTGAAATTATAGTCCTGATAAATGACCGACAAGCCCTGATTGAACAGCAAACATGATAAGAAATGGTGGTATTAGTTTGTTTTAAATATTTAAGGCTAAATTAACCCAACATGAATTACTACCAAGCATGTATAAGTTATTCACAAAGAGAGTAAATATACTGCAGGTTCAAGGCATTTGAGTTGGTGGTGAAGTAGGTATCAGAAAAGAAAACAGACTGATGTTGGGTAGTTCTTAGTTGCTGCTTATGGGAGTTTGCAAGGAGATCCGGTTTCTTCATCTGTCAAGGCCTGGAGTTCTATTTGACCACAAAGGAGTGCCCAACACTCACTCAAAAATATCAGATATTACCAAGGAGAGTGTGATCCAGCAAGAGAAAACGGAAAAGTTCAGAGAAATATCAGGTACCATTACAGATCATGACAAGCAAGCATTGTACAATCTTCGGCCAATAGTTACTGTATTGACATTTTGACATCCTTTTCATTGTTGTAATTTTCTTTTACAATACGTTGTGGCTGCACGAATCATCACTTTCATTGAAATGAACTGCAATTTTTTTTACTACTACAGTTTTCTAGATCTTGGGAACTAAAGGACCAAAGAAATCTACGCTTTTTATTGCAAAAGTACCCTATGACTTGTTGTTTTACATGCTATAAAATCAGGGTCTTCACTAATATTCAATCCTTGTTATGTGAGCATTTTATTTGGCTAAAAACTAGGTTGGTTGGATGAATTCAACTGCCAATATCATAGGTATTCAACCATGAATGTTTGGTAGGTTATACATCTAACAACTGTGACAAAAATCACTTAATATTTTTATTAATATTAATGTCATCTGTCTGAAAATACTCTTCCTAAAAGCTCAAATCCAATGTTACATTGGCAACAGCTGAAAAGATGGCGAAATTGGAGTTCAAGGCCAAACCATTTGTCCCTTTTCTGTCGATCAGTTCTTCCATTGGTTGGTCGAAATCTCCCTTGCTTTTAGTAAAGTGTGTTTCCTTTGGCTTGACTTTTCTATATTTCTTTTGCCTCCCTACAAGAGTTCGAAAATTATAAGTAATTCCAACTAGAACAAAATTGATTTGTGAATTGTTCTCTGAAAAAATAAAAAAAAGAAAATTGACTTCTCATATGTTTGTTGGAATTTAAAACCGTTGCTATGGGCAGTTTAGGAAAATTATATAATGAGGTCACTTCGTAGTTTTCATTTCCTTTGGTCCTTGTTACAGGTATATCTTTAATTTCTACTGTACCTTCCGGAAAGAAAAACAGCAGAGCAGAGTTTTTTGTATACTTGTAAGGAGAAAAAGCTTGTAAAGAAAATTCTTGCATTGAAAGGAGATCAGAATTGAAGACTTAGTTCTGAAGAACTGGTAAACTTTGGAATTTATATTATTTGCTTTATGTTTGGTGGCTTTGCAATCCATAAAACCTGAAGTTTGATGATGATGATGATTGTGTGGTAATGAAAGCTTCATTTTTAAATGAGTATCATGCTAATAATTAGATCATCTTGTTGGCTTTATTCCCTATTTGTGCTTAATTTCCTTTTGGAATTTGTGAGTGTACGTTAGCATTTAGAAACCCAAGTACTTGGAGAAAAATCTTGAAATCACACGGCACACCTATTAATAACTTGGGTCTCGCAACCCCAATCTGGTTCTTCATCTTCAATTGCTGCTTTGGTTATAAGCTCTGTTATGTAAGCTCATCAAATGGGCCTTTGCTTGGTTAGGAAAAGTAAAATGGTCCTTGCTACAAGTAATGCTAGGATAAGGAAAGATTGAAACTAGCATAGGTTTTGATAAGATGCATGTGATTTAAGTACTTTGATGAACCTATATAATGTGGAATGGTGGAAAGGAATAGTGCAACTGACCTTTAATAATTGAAAAAACTTTGTTAGATTAAGTTGAATTGATTGATCGCAGGAGAAGAGTAAAAGGAAAGTAAAAGTTGATTGCAACGTGATAGGAACTCAAGTCTTTATTCACATATGCAGCTTGGCTTCTCTTGATCATATTGTAACGTATATCAATTGTGTAAACTCCAATATCCATGATTATATGAGGTCGTGTTAGGATATGAACTCAATGCAAAGAAATATTTGAACTTGTTTAAAGTTATCCAAGTGAATTGCTTTAGGAAACATGCTAATGAATGAAAAAACATTAAATATCCATTAAAAGAATTAAAATAGTGCTAAAATAGATATAGAATGCAGTTTGATAAATAAGTCTAGCTACTTGTGAATTGTGTGGTTGTCTTGGTGGATTAGAGTTTGGGTGAGCCTGTTATTTTGGAATTCATAATTGTGAACCAATAGGTTAACTAATTAACAGGTTGAGGGTGAGGAAATGGTTATGTAGTGGAACTTGTGTGCAATTGAGATTTAAGATCATAATTAATGAGATAGTAACACCACACACACACATATATATGAGGGTGTAAGGTATATAATCTTACTGTGCTATGATCTTACTGAGATTTTGAACTCACAGCTTTGTGATTTTATAGGTACTCGATAAGGTATGTGGCAGAGAGACGTGCAATGTAATTTATGTCATTTGTTTTAATTTGATAGTTCATGTTTCACTGTGAGAGACATTGTATTGATAATTGCTTTATAGTAGTTATGGAGCTGGATTTTATGTTTTTGGTAATATGGATGATGTTGAATAGTTATTATGAATTTTATTGTAGACTTTATTTAATATAATTTAGCTATTAAGTGGTGCCTTTGTGGTAAATTCAATGGATGTGATTATTTGGTTATGTATCTAGTTAATGCACCAAGTTGGATACTTGATAAGGACTTCTTGATGAATCAAAGAAGAAAAATGGTTCTAAACTGCAATGTAGGAAAGCTCAATGGACGACATAAGAAAAGGGCAGACTACATTGTAAATATAGATTATAGTATTTTGGGTAAAAAGAATAAAGAAAAAAAGTGCTAATAGCGGACTTCAATTACTTATTTGACCTAGCAAAAGAAAGAGTGGATGGAGGATACTTATATGACTTTCAATACTCAAGACTTTCACATTACCACTCTACACTCGATGGTCACGAGGCTGCATCTGTCTCCTTTGTTTTTCTCTCTAACCTTGTCTAATTTAATTGTCTTTCTTGCTAATTTGGCAGTAGCTAACTTTGACGTGGTAGGGGAGACAGACATCATGGTGGATGGCTACTGGCTACCATCCAACCTTTTGTTTTTTCTCTTTTATTTTCTCCTTGGGGATTAACCATTCAAATTATACACTAGAACAAGATGTTTTTGAACATGTTTCTAATTTACAAACATAATGTGCCTCCCACCCTTTTGTTTTTTCTTTCTTGTTTTCTCAGCGGGGGATTAGCCCTTCAAATTATACACTTAAAAAAGATTTTTATAATATGCTTCTAATTTACTATTTGTTACGGGGTCCATTATGATTTCTACAAGAGTGAGAGTCTGCACAAGCGGAGTTATCCACTATATAATTTTTAATTTATAAGTTTTTAGTAAGCCATTAATTGCATTTACTGGGAAAAAGATTATAAACTGTAAATGTGGTGGAGATAGTAGAGTCTGAGGTCAGTGTAATTGTTAGAAATCTTATCTATAAGTTGATTCAACGATTATGGCAGATTTATTGGGTCTTCAATATAGTTTAATTTTTAGGGATTTTATTTTTATTCTGGTTTGATTTGATTTGATTTTATTCTCTTTATTTTGATTTGATTTTATTCTCTTTTCCATATTTGTAATTTTCCGCTTGTATATAATGATAGTCAGGCTCTCAAATTGACTACGCCAATTTTACCAAGTTACTTTTTGGTATGAGAGCCTCAAACCTATGCCTCCCCCATCTCTCTCTCTTTCACCGCCTCTTTTAATATCTCTCTCTATCTCGTTACAGCCCCTTCCCTATTTTTTTTTTTTCACAGACCTTCTCTCTTTTTCAGGTCGTTGTTGCGACAGTCCTAGGGGGAGTCAATCTCCTCTAGGTTCAACCCCTGTAGGGGTATTCCCTTAGTCTTTTTCATGCACTAAGGGTCAGAAGACGTGTTTGTAATTTTTTGGGGCTGCCGGGATATTCAGCAGCATTTTCGGATCAGACCGCCGTGTCTCCGGCTTCTGGGTTTGATCAAAATCAGGTCTATTCCTCCTTTATTTGAAATTATTGGTAATCTGTTGAATTGATCTATTTAATATTATGGTTGAATCAAGTAATAATAAAGAAACTCTCTTTTCAGCGCAACACACACCGGCTCAACGAGTTACTAGTGTGCTGTTGAATGGCCGTAATTTTGCATCCTGGGCTCGTTCCCTCCGCCTCTATGTTGGTGGAAAAGGCAAATCAGGGTGGATTTTGGGTACTGAAAATAGGCCAGATATTAAAGATCCTAAATATGCTCAGTGGGATATGGACAATTGCACCATTTTAGGATGGATGTTTAATTCTATAAAGGAACGCATTTATAATATATTCATGTTTTATGACTCTGTTAATGACTTGTGGACTGCTTTGAATCAAATGTATGCTCATTCTAGGAATGATGCTCGTATTTTTGAATTATATCAAGATATTGCTAAGGCCTCGCAAGAAGGCCTGAATTTGTTTGTAACTGATTATTTTGGGTATTTGAGATATCGTTGGGAGGAACTAGCTCAATATGAGCCTCTCAGTGAATTGCCTTCTGAGGCAGCCTCTCTTCTTGTCAAACGTCTTGATCGTCAGCATACCTATCAGTTTTTGATGGGATTACGCCCAGAATTTAAACCACTAAAGTCTCAGATCTTGAATGCATCACCAATGCCATCCCTGTTGGAAGCCTTTGCTACTGTTGATGGTGAAGCACGCAAGGGCCGTTTAATTCAGCCCTCAATTGTTCCTGTACCAGTGTCTGAGCCTACTGGGGATAGTATGGCTTTTGCAGCCAACTTTGGATCACGAGCTTCTGGAGGTCAGATTATTTGTCACCATTGTGGAGGGGTTGGACATGTTAAGGCTCGTTGCTTCAAACTTCATCCTGAACTGAAGCAAAAAATTTCTAAGAACCGTTTATCTGGAACTGGTTCTTCTCATACTGCGGCTGTTACAGAAACTCCTGTTACTACTGGTGGATCTACTGTATTTCCTGGACTGAGCCAGCTTCAGTCTCAGATTGGGGATATTCAAGACCAGCTTGGCTCCCTTTCTTCTAGAGTTAGTGCTCCTTCAACTGCTCCCACTGCAACTATTGTTATAGGTACTCCTACTACATTTTATGTTAAGGCCAAGCATCCCACTTGGGTTCTGGATTATGGGGCCAATGATCACATGACTGGTGAGTTACCAGTTTTTTCTTCTAATGTCATACATGTTACCCAATCCGTGTATCTTGCGGATGGCTCTACATCTTACATTCACAGTAAGGGTGATGTTTGTCTGTCTCCTGATATTACTCTTTCATCTGTCCTTCATACCTAAATTTTCCTTTAGCCTTTTATCTGTTAGCCGGCTTGCAAAAACCTCCAATGTGCAGTTATATTCTTACCAGATCACTGTTTGTTGCAGGACCTTTGTTTGAAGAGGATTTTTGGCAGGGGTTATGAGTGTGATGGGCTTTACTACTTTGGGGAACCACCAGGAACGAGTCTTCAAGCTTCTGTCATACCTACTTCTAGTATTTATGATGTTTCTTTTCGCACTTTTAGTCTGTGGTATGCACGTTTGAGGCATGTAAACTTTCAATATCTATGTCTATTGTTTCCTTCGTTAAATAAAGCATGTAAGGACCATAAGTTTCAATGTGAAGTTTGTGAGCTTTCTAAACATACTAGAACTAGCTATATTTCTCATATGAGTCGTGCTCCTAGTATGTTTAATCTTATTCATTCTAATGTCTGGGGCCCTTCCCTAGTTACTACTTTCTCTGGACATCGATATTATGTGACATTTATTGATGATTATTCTCATTGCACTTGGGTTTATCTTTTGAAAAAGAAATCTGATGTGTTTCTTTTATTTACCCAGTTTCTTCAAATGATCAAAACCCAGTATAACACTGTTGTCCGTAATATTCGTTCTGATAATGGACGAGAATATATTTCGAATGAGTTCCGGTCTGAACTTAATAAAAAGGGGATTTTACATCAACTCACTTGCCCCTATACTCCTGAGCAAAATGGTGTGGCTGAACGCAAAAACCGTCATCTTATGTCTGTGGTACGATGTCTTCTGAGTGGTATGCATGTGCCTAAATTCTATTGGCACATAGCTGTTCTTACAGCTGCTTTTCTGATTAATCGTACTCCCAGTCGAGTTTTGGGTGGTAAGGCACCATTTCAGATTCTCCAGCCTGATTATACATTGTTTCACCTTCTGCCTCGTGTTTTTGGCTGTACTTGTTTGGTTTATAACCGTAGTCCTTCTCGTCATAAACTTGATGATAAATCTATTAGGTGTATTTTCTTGGGGTATTCTGCTATGTCAAAGGGCTATCGTTGTTATGATCATGTGACCAAACATATGTATCATTCTCTTGATGTGACATTTCATGAAACTGTTCCTTTTTATAGTACTAATTCTGTGGTACAGGATTCTCTCTCTTGTGATCTGGAGAAGGAGATTTCTCTTATTGCCCGTCCTGTTGCTCTCTTTGAAAATCACACTGTCCTGGAATCTTCTTTTCCATCCATGCAGGGTTCCCCTCCACCTTTGCAGGACTACTCTCGTCGCCATCGCACTCAACCTCCCCTGCCAGAATCATCTTCCGAACTAGGTCCAGGTAACTCTACTTCTCCTATTGCTCCTACAATTCCTGAGCGTACCTCCCGTTATCCTACCCGTGATCGTCATCGTCCTAATTGGTATGGTTTTTCTAGTAGCACTAACCACCCTATTTCCCAGTATGTCTCCTATGATGGTCTTTCAGGTGCATATAAATCCTTCCTGGGCAAGATTGGGACCGTTTCTATTCCTCGATCTGTATCAGAAGCCCTCCAAGATCCCAATTGGGTGTCTGCCATGACAACAGAAATGGATGCTTTATACCATAATAATACATGGGAACTTGTTGCTTTACCTTCTGGGGAAAAAACAGTTAGCTGCAAGTGGGTCTTTAATGTGAAGTACTTAGCCGATGGTTTTATTGATCGGTATAAGGCTCGGTTGGTGGCAAAAGGCTTTACTCAGATTCCGGGCAAAGACTTTAATGCTACCTTTGCTCCTGTGGCTAAGTTGACGTCTGTGCGACTGCTTGTCTCCTTGTCTGCTGCCCATTCTTGGCCTCTGCATTAGTTAGATGTCAAGAATGCATTTCTTAATGGAGACTTACTTGAGAGTATATATATGGATCCACCCCCTGGATTTCGGGCTGAGGGGGAGTATGCTGGGAAAGTCTGTAAGCTACAGAAGTCTCTTTATAGTCTAAAGCAATCTCCTAGAGCTTGGTTAAGTCGTTTCAGCAATGTTGTTTTATCCATGGGCTTTGTGCGCTGCCACTCAGACCATACTTGTTTTATTCGACGTCGCTCTGATGGTCGTTGCATTATGTTATTGGTATATGTGGATGATATCATTATCACAAGTGATGATGTTTCAGGGATTGCTCAGGCGAAACTTCATCTTCAAAAGTCCTTTGATGTGAAGGACTTAGGTCCTCTTCGATATTTTCTTGGAATTAAGGTTGCTAGATCCCGTCGTGGAATTTCTTTGTCTCAAAGAAAAAATGTTTTGGATCTTCTTCAAGATACTGGCATGCTTGGGTGTCGACCCGCTTCCACTCCTATGGACCCCAATCTTAAACTCTCTGTTGAGTCAGGGGAATTACTTCCAGATCCATCCGTGTATCAACGTTTAGTAGGTCGTCTTATCTACTTAACTAACACAAGGCCCGATTTGACATTTGTTGTCAGTGTGATTAGTCAATTCATGCCTGCCCTTCGCTCAGCTCATGTGGATGCAGTCTACCATATTTTGAGGTACCTTAAGTCGTGCCCTGGTCTTGGTCTATTCTATGCCTCAGGAAATCAGTCTGGACTCTCATGCTTTACTGATGCAGACTATGCTGGATGTAAGACAGATAGACGTTCTACCTCTGGCTTCTGTACTTTCTATGGTAATCATCTCATATCATGGAAGAGTAAGAAGTAGGCTGTTGTTTCTAGATCCTCTGTTGAAGCTGAATACCGAGCTATGGCTCAAGGTACTTGTGAGCTCCTTTGGCTTCAATCAATTTTGGGAGAGTTGGGTCTTATACAGAAAGGTTCTTCAAGGCTGCTTTGTGACAATAAATCAGCCATTATGCTTGCTTCTGATTCTGTTTTACATAAAAGGTCGAAACATATTGAGGTAGACATTCAGTTTATTCAAAAGAAGGTTCGATCGGGTTTCATTAATCCTATTTTTGTTCCTTCTTCAGAACAGACTGCAGATGTGTTCACAAAGTCTGTTGGGCCTTCTCTTCTCCAGTCTTCCATCGTCAAGCTGGGCTTAGTCAACATATTTGCTCCAGCTTGAGGGGGAGTGTTGGAAATCTTATCTATAAGTTGACTCAACGATTATGGAAGATTTATTGGGTCTTCAATATAGGCTAATTTTTAGGGATTTTATTTTTATTCTGATTTGATTTTATTTGATTTTATTCTCTTTATTTTGATTTGATTTTATTCTCTTTTCCATATTTGTAAGTTTTCACTTGTATATAATGATAGTCAGGCTCTCAAATTTAGTACGCCAATTTTACCAAGTTACTTTTGTAATCATCCAAGAGCTAGCTGAAAAAAGTTTTCAACAGCTAACAATTTCTGCAAGAAAACGAGAGATGGCCGAGACTGCTGTTGATTTTCTCTTGTGGAGCTTGAATCAGATAAGAAAGGGTGAGAAAGTTTGGCTTTTTTCTGAAATGGAGATGAATGAAATGGGCTGTCTTTATGGAGAGGTAGAATCACTGAGAACTTGTCTCAAGCACTTGGAGAAATATCGTACTGAGCATGAGGAAATTGAAGATCTGGTGACACAAATTAGAGATGTTGCTTATGAGGCAGCAGACATCATTGATTTGTCCTTAATCAACTGTACTTCTCATGTAAGGCTTGTCGATATCGTCCAAGGGATTCTGTCTATAAAGGAAGAGCTGATGGAGTTTTATGAAACCAAGGAGGAGACTATTGATTCTCTTATGGAGAATTGGTGTGAAACCAAGGAGGAGACTGTTGATTCTCTCATGGAGAAATGGAATCAGCTAATAAAGGGTGAAGTACCGAGGCAACTACAAGAGTGGGAGAGGGAGATGACCAAGACTATTGTTGATTCTCTCATGGAGAAGTTGAATCAGCTTATAAAGGGTGAGATAAATTGCTCATTTTCTCGTTCTGAGATGAATATTCTAATAGCTCATCTTTACGAGGAGCTACAATCTCTGGGAATTTGTTTCAAGGATTCGGAAAAGAATCACATTGACAATGTAAAATTTCCATCTCTGTTCTCTGAAATCCGTGTTAAGGCTTATGAGGCAACAAACATCATTAAATTTTCCTCAGAAAGAAATGTTCTTTACCCTCACCCAAGGCTCAGTGTTGTCCTGAAAGAGATCAAGTCTATAAAGAAACAGGTGATGGAGATTTACCAGAAGACATTGTGCGGCATCAGAGACCCACAAGTTGGATTGTATGTCCATGGAAGTTCAGCAAGAGCTATTAGTTATCTGAATGTAGAGGAAGAAACTATGATCGGCTTTGATCATGAAGTAGAGATGTTGAAGGAGCGACTTACTGGAATACAAAAGCAACTCCAAGTCATCTCAATTGTTGGAATGGCCGGATTGGGCAAGACCACTCTGGAAAGAAAAATATTCAATGATCCTTTCATTGTACATCACTTCTATATTCGTGGGTGGACCTATGTTACTCAAGTATATTGCAAAAGGGATCTCTTGCTTCGCATTCTAAATTTTGTTTTAAAGTAAGAAGACGAAATCTATACACTAAGCGATGAAAAGTTCGGAGAAGAGTTATACAAATGTTTCAAAGGTAACAGATATCTTGTTGCCACGGATGATATGTGGGACATTGGAGCGTGGAATGATTTAAAAAGATACTTTCCGAATGACAACAATGGCAGTAAAATTTTGTTCACTAGTCGGTGTACTGATGTCGCTTTGCTTGTCAAACAGGATAGCCCTCCTCATAATCTCCGTTTTCTAAATGAAGATGAAAGTTGGGATCTATTACAAAAGAAGATATTTTGGAAAGAGAGTTGCCCTTCAGAGTTGATGGATGTTGGAAAGCAAATAGCAAGGTTTACCACTTGCGATTGTTGTAGTGGCCGGGCTTCTAGCAAAAAGAAAAAAGTTTCAAGTCTGGTGGAAGCAAGTTGCTGAAAACTTGAGTTCATACATTGCAAATGATGTAGATCAATGCTTAAATATTCTAGCACTAAGTTACAACAACTTGCCTTTTCACTTGAGATCATGCTTTCTCTACTTCGGTGCATTCCCCGAAGATTATGAAATCTCAGTGCGGAAGTTGATCTGGTTATGGATCGCTGAGGGATTTATACATCGAATAGGGCTAGAAAGAAAAAGCTTGGAGGATGTTGCTGAAGATTACTTGATGGATTTGATTGATAGAAATTTAGTCATGGTTGCTAAAAGAAAGTCAACTGGTGGAATCGGGACTTGTCGTGTCCATTATCTGTTGCATGATTTATGCTTGAGAAAAGCAGAAGAAGAGAATTTTTTTCAGCAAATTCGTGGGAACAACCACAGTCCCACTTCTTTTTCTTCTTCTTCTTTAGTTCATATAGGCAAGCAACATCGTTGATTATGCGTCAATTCTCCCATATTTTGTTACATTCCTACTGAGCCTTTTGCCGACATCTGCTCTTTCTTGTGTTTTGTCTCTAAACGGAGTTCATTACCTCCTAAGAATATGTCATTCATTTGTCAAGCCTTCAAACTTCTTAGGGTTTTGGATTTATTGGCCATCAGTATCCCCTTTTTTCTAAGTGAAATAGTTGATCTATTTCTTCTAAGATATTTAGCTCTTCAGGGTAAGCACCTGAGTATCCCAGCATCAATACGCCACCTTCAGATTCTAGAAATTCTTATCATATCACAAAGGCAGATATCAGATTTACCGAATGAGCTATGGAATATCGCAACGTTAAGGCATCTACGCATTGCAGGGGAAAATTTGTTGACCCTAAAATCAGCCGGTTAGAGCCGATCTTAAATTGATGAGTTGCGGGTGTGCCAGAACCACTTGGGTGGTTCGATTGTGAATTGTCAACTTTAGTCCCTTTGAGAAAGTTGACTCTCAGACGATGCGAGGAAAAAGGGAACAAATAAATTCCTCTTTTGGGTTCAAAAATGCCTTAGTTAAAAGGACTTTCCGTAAACAATTTATAGTAACGTAACAAGAGAATAGAAAAGGGAAAAAATAGATACAGAAAGTGATATGGAGAAGAGATAGGGAGAAAGAGATATAGGGAGAGAAATAGAACAAGACTGAAATAGAGAGAAAGATAAAGATAGCAAGGATGCTATTTGAGGAAAGTGCTTGAGAAAGCAAACAAAATAATAATAAGGATTCTGAGGGTGCTGGACCTCTTGTACAACGTGCCTCTCTGTTTATTTATAGAATATATGGTAAAACAAATTCCTAAATACAAGCATCCTAGTTATATTCTAATACAACCACATAATTATTCAAATTAAACTAATCTTAACTAAATACTAATTCCAAATAAAATCTAATCCTATCGATAAACCAACTAAAAATAAATTCAAACTAAACATTCCTAGATAAACACTAATTCAAAAATCAAGTAAACACATAAATCTTATCTAACATAAAGTTCAAGAACATTCTATCCATGTAGCATCCTTGCATATAGCGTTATTTTGTATGAGAACTGCCATGTCACTGTTCATGTATAGCACTAATGGATTTTATTCCAACTAAAATGCTATTCCAAACCACATTCAATCCAATCACCTTCAATGACCCAGATATCCTTCTCGGCCCAAACTCCTAGCACATCATCACTGACCAGGCTTTATGTTCTTGGCCATATTACTATATCATTGATCATCAAGTCCAATTGAAGCCCAAACCCAATTACCAAAATGGGTGTCAACAAAATTATATTAAAAGAGCACCAACCATTGATGCCTATCCCTTTATACTTGATAAGCTACAGACCATCTCACATGTACAACCTTCAGAGCGTTGCCAGGATGTCTTGGCAAGGACACCCAATCTAAGGAAGCTGGGTTTTGGTGGACGTTTTGATTCAGGCAATGATTGTTTTTGGTTTCCTGATCTAGACTTCCTAAATCACCTTGAAACATTGACCTTGTTAAATAGGTATGTTCCTGATCATCATTTCTACAATCTCCAAGGTGTTAAATTTCCCCCAAATCTCAAAAGTTTGACTTTGTAAAATACTGTTCTTGAGTGGAAGGAAATGTCAGTCCTTGGGATGTTACCAAACCTTGAGGTTCTCAAATTGGAATATCAGGCCTGCATCGGATCACTGTGGGAAACAACTGAGGGGGGGTTTCGTCGACTCAAATACTTGAGACTGTATTACATGAATGTTGAGCAATGGAACGCCTCCAGCATTCATTTTCCAAGCCTTCAGCGTCTACTGCTGCATAGATGTCGTAAACTCAAGGAGATTCCATCTGAATTAGGGCATATATGTACACTGCAGACAATCGAGGTAAGTTGTTGTAGTGATTCCGCCGTAAATTCTGCCAGAGAAATTCAGAAAGAGCAAGAGGACATGGGAAATGATTCATTGAAAATCATTATAATAAATCCCCCAAGTTGGGAGCTCATGACATATTCTTAAGTCTGTGTTGAGCTCCAGTGAATGTTGGCTTGACAATTGAGTTACTAATTGAACTCATTAATTTTGATGCTCGTTTATATTGTATTCGTCTTAAACATTGCATCTAGTGGAATGATTCATAAATGGGTAGTTGTTCAGAAATTTCAGCTGAGTTACAAAATATTACCAATTTAAATACTTTTATTTTTTTATTTTTTATAGTACACATGTTTCCAAAGTAAAAGAAAATTTGGCAGTTAAATTGTTCATCACTTCATCAATTCATCTGATAAGTGGGAAAAGAAACATGGTATGTTTTTCAATCTATAATATGTTGCAATAAAACTGAAAGCTAATTTGTTCTTAGACGATGTGCAATTGTATTACAAAAATCCTCAATTTGTCAAATTATAGTCCTGATAAATGACCGAAAAGCCCTGATTGAACAGCAAACATGATAAGAAATGCTGGTATTAGTTTGTTTTAAATATTTGAGGCTAAATTAACCAAACATGAATTACTACCAAGCATGTATAAGTTATTCACAAAGAGAGTAAATATACTGCAGGTTCAAGGCATTTTTGAGTTGGTGGTGGGGAAGTAGGTATCAGAACAGAAGACAGACTGATGTTGGGTAGTTCTTAGTTGCTGCTTATGGGAGTTGCAAGGAGATCCGGTTTCTTCGACTCTCAAGGCCTGGAGTTCTATTTGACCACAAAGGAGTGCCCAACACTCCGCTTAAAAATATCAGATATTACCAAGGAGAGTGTGATCCAGCAAGAGAAAACGGAAAAGTTCAGAGAAATATCAGGTACCATTACAGATCAGACAAGCAAGCATTTTACAATCCTCAGCCAATAGTTGCTGTATTGACATTTTAACATCCTTTTCATTGTCATAATTTTCTTTTAGAATACGTTGTGGCTGCACCAATCATCACTTTCATTGAGAACGAACTGCAAATTTTTTACCACTACAATTTTCTAGATCTTGGGAACTAAAGGACCAATGAAATCTATGCTTTTTATTACAAAAGTACCCTATGACTGGTTGTTTTACATGCTATAAAATATGTGAGCATTTTATTTGGCTAAAAACTAGGTTGGTTGGATGACTTCAACTGTCGATATTGTAATATTTTCATTTTTCTTCATTTTCTAATTTTTTTTCAGAATTTTTGTCGTTGCAAGGGCATTTTCGTCTTTTCTCGTTTTGTGTACCAGACCCCATGGGTTGTGCCGGTTATGTCCGAGAGATGGTAGGGGCATTTCATTGAGTTCAAGACTCTTTAAAATGTAAGGGTTACTATTTTGGCATTTTTCAGTTTTTTGGGCCGGACGGTCCCGTGTGGGACCCGCTTGTAATAGTTTCATTTTTCGTCATTTTCTATATTTTTTGGAATTTTGTCATTTGCAAGGGTATTTTTGTCTTTTCTCGTTTTGCGTAACGGACACCGTGAAGTGTACTAGATTTGTCGGAGAGTTGGTTGGGACATTTCATTGAGTTTATGACTCTTTGAAATGCATGAGGCACCATTTTAGCATTTTTTATTTTTTTGGCCGAACAGTCCTGTGTGGGACCCATTATCGGACTTATCGTGTACAGGGATTTTAGTTGAGTCCATTAGCATTTCATGCATTTTATTTGATGTATTTTATGTGGGTTTTATTTGGTTGGATGTATGTATATAAATTTGTGAGAATTAATAAAGAAAAGAAAAAAGAAAATAAATCCAATTTTTGGTGGGGTCCACCATTAACACCTTTTAGAGGCCAAAAGTCCGTTGAAGCCTCACAATTCTCTCTCACTCCGTAAGCCTCTCTCTCCCTATTCTAGACTTTTCTTTTTTCTTTCTTTTGGGCTTCAAACTTCAAATCTTAATTTCTCCCTCAATACTTGGTGTTTTTTAGTGCCGTTTGCGGCAAATTGAAGCTCACGGTGAGATCTACAAGTTGATCGGAGCAATTTCTTGTTTGAAGCACTCTAGGAGAACCAGGATCTAGCACAAAAATTTGGGGGGTTTTGCATATCTTGAGGTAGGGATTCCTAATTCATGTTTTTCTTGTTCTTTTGAGAGTTCTCTCTCATTAATTGTTGTAAAGCATGTTCAATTTTGAGATATTTGCCTTGAGGATGATGTAAATGTTATATATGAAGTTTATGATCATATGTGTTAATTGATTCATATAAAAAACATGCTTATGTGTTAATTTCCTTGTCTAAATGTTGATTTTCTATGCCTATTATGTTATAAATTTGCTAGAAGTGATATATGAAAGCATGCGTAGTTTTCTTAGAATTCTTGTAAAAAATACTTATTTGTGTCGTATAAAATCCCTTACTGCCATAGCACTGAAAGCATGAGACATGCATGCATACCAGGGGGCATGAATGGAGGAAAATGATTTGGAATAAATGAAAAAGGGATTTTGGGGAAATGTTTTGATTAAAGTGATTTTGAGAAAACCCGGTCACCGCGGAGTCACCAAAGGGCCGGTGTGTTAATGTAACCTAGAGGGAATTAGGGGAAACACCCTAGCGTGGTTGAGCTAGCTGGACCCCAAATGATGCCGCGAAGGTACCAAGGGTCGTGGACAGTAGCCAATCTTTCTCTCATGTCGCTGCGGATGTTTTTTGAAACTGGGGAGTGATATGCATGGCATTGCATTCATGGCACGACATTTGCTTGTTTTGAACTTGGAATTGATATTGTATTTTCCCCGGTTTAGTATGACCCCACTCGCTATTGTTCTATTCATTGTTTGAATTCACGGGATCACAAGAGATATGTCTTAGGCACCACCTACTGAGCTGTTAAGCTCACCCTATTATCATTTAAATTTTTCAGGAATAAGGAGACAAGCTGGTAAATAATGTGCATCCATGGACATTGACGCAGCTAGGGATTCATTTTTATTTTATTTGTATTAAAGCTAGGTAAATTTTGGCCATGGAGGCCTCATCTTTGTATTTAATTCTTTTTTAATTGTAGAAAATGAGATTATGTAATTATTTTATGATGAATGGGCAAATGGAATTATGTTTTGATCAATTATTGATGTCTTTCAATTATTTATGTCATATTTAATAGACGTGAATCTGGGTTTGGTTGCACATCAAGTTGTTTATCAGGTTTGGGTTACTAAGAGTCCAAAGTTCTGGACTGTCAGGTTGCATATAGCAGTTATCTAGGGTCTGTCGGCTTATTGACAAGGAGGACCAGCTGACTGACAGAGCCATTCAAGGGCTGAACCTTGCCTTCAGCAGAGGGCTGGACCTTCACTTCAGCCGAGGGCTGAACCTTTCCTTCAGCAAAGGGTTGAACCTCTGCTTCAGCCGAGGGCTGAACCTTTCTTTCCAAATGGCCGAGGGCCGAACCTTTCTTTCAAAACGGCCGAGGGCCGAACCTTTCTTTTAAAACGGCTGAGGGTGAACCATTTTAGGTCAAAACGACTGAACCTTATAAGTCAGGCCGAACGACCATGTGCTGAACGGTTATGTTCTGTCAACTGACCCTTCCTCTTTGACTTATGCATTTGACCCTCTTTGTAAGGTTGTGTCTTAGAGCATTTGGACAATGGATTAACTCGTCTGACAGTTATGGACACAGGAAATGGAGGTATGACTTAGTTGACCTCAGGTTCGGGTAAGGACTCGGTTAATGGTTCGGACCCACGGGTTCGGGTCGTTACAAAAATGGTATCAGAGCGATGGTTCGAAAACCATTAGGACGACGGGTAGGGGCCTACCTACGATTGTTTGGGAAAGTTGACTTGCATCTTTTATGTTCCTATGTGTTAAAGTGCTTAACTATTTAAGAAGCATGCTTACTTGTTACTCGTCTGAATGTTTGCTGTTTTGAAAGGCATGCCTATTTGCTAAGTGCATACATGTTTAAATTGTCAATACATGTAAATAAAGTGTTTATATTAAATTACAAGCATGCCATATGTGATAAGGCGGAAAGTATAAGGTATACGATGGTGGCAAGAAGTAGGCACGGTCAGTGCAAATTTTCTTTATGATAATGTACCAAGTAATGAGCATGGTATCGTGGTTTCATTCATTTTGTAAACGTGCATATCTATATTTTTATGTGTTTATGCGGTCGAGCATGGGATGGTTGTGTGAGTTGTGACCTGAGTTGGCGAGTAGCTCGGTTGCTCCAGGGTGGTTGGGTGTCAGTTCTTATCGAACGGATGGCTTGGTCTTTTAGCTCATGGATTGAGCTATTTGGTGTGTAGTTATTTTTATCCTCTTGTTGCATTTTATGTGGTGCTTAGAGCATGACTTTGAACGGGTTGAATTTTAAGGCATTGTGACTGTGTTGTATGTGAGTTTCATGCTTTGGTATATGGGTTCTGGTGATCGTGGAGGTCAGGTGTGCGAGTGAGGGCTTTAGTATATCCATAGGAGGTTGGTGTTAGTGACTTGGGTCACGGTTTGGTGCGGAGGTTCTTATCGGACCGGTCGTGGTAGGTGTGACTAAGATTATTTAAGTCACGAATATAGTCTGTGAGTTGTAGATGTGTATCTTGTGGTACGGTCTAAGAAAGTGTGTTGGTTTTGATTGTTATGGGGACTTGTTGGACTTTATAGGTCTAAGGTGACGTATGATCGATTGCAAATGTGGATCGTGTCATGGTCTTGTAAGAGTCTGTTTTAAAGATTGGTTTATCTAGGGGTGATCCTCGTTTCAGAGAGCTATAGGAGTGTGCTATGGGTAATTGACTCTCGGTGAGTCGATTGCATGGCCCGGTCGGAGAGCAAAGTTCTAAGTTGGTACGGCTATCTAGAGAGTCTTGAGATGATGTATAGTGGTTAGTTTTAGTTGTATAGAGCAGGATTGTACTATAAGGAAGGTTGTTTGAAGTCATTAAAGTGCTCGGTTGTTGCGGATAAAGTGATCGATGGTAAGTGTTGTGTTACCAAATGGACTGTGTTTTAGACGTTGAAAGTTATGGGCTGGGGTTGTATTTTAAGATGTGTTTGACGTATCAGGAAATAGTGGTTGGCGTTTGAGGATTTAGGAAGACAGACTGATGATAAGAATGATTGGGACGAGATTGATCTTGTAGGTTTAATTGGTAGGCCATTTGACTTTTGTCTGGGCCAAGGGTGTTCTGAGGAATAGTGCGGAGGAGAAATGATGATGTTGAACCTAATGTGTGAAGTTTCCTTGGTTAAGCACGTTGATCGCATTAGAAAGAGTGGTTTAAGTAGTCCGTTAGGCGTTAGTGAATGATTGCACCTTTGATGATTTTAAGGAGACAATTAGGTGTTGAGCATTCTGGATTTTATACTCATTTTTATTTTCGAGGATTTATCGGCATGGCATTGCCATATGGAGGTTTTTTTCTGGTGGAAAGTAGTGGTCATTGTAGGGAGTATCGAGAATGGTGTTTATTTTCGCGTTTTGATGGTGTTGTCTTAAGGATGTTTGAGGAAGAATTGTTTTGTAGTGACTTGATGGTCCGGTGGGATGATAGATTTGAACTGTTGTTTAGTGCTGATAAGAGGAACAATTTGAGGTATGATCCGAATATGGTTTGGGGACCTTGTGTTGTTTGCTGTGTGTTGTCAAGTAAGTGATGGGAGTGTGCACCAGTTGAGGCGATTGAGGTCGGCTTAGTTTTTTTAAAGCCAATAAGAGTGGTGTTGCCATGTAGGAATCCTTTTCTTTTGCTGAGTCGGTGAGTCGTTGTGACCGAGGTCACGAGTTTTGTGTGTACAGTGATTGCCGCCGGGAAGGTAAAGGTGGAATGGGTGACCTAATGTCTTTGTATGGCATAGAGGTTATCGTTTGGGAGTGACAGTTCCTGATGGAATAGGACGCGGTGTCCAAAGGGCTATGATTGTTTCTAGTGATTGAATGTCATGAGTATTAGTGCTGTTAGTTGGTTGGTTTTGGTTGGCATGAGTACCGCGGTGTACCATAGGTGAGGTTCCGTGTTAGCAGTGTTTGACGGTCCGTTGGTGGTAAGATCGCTTGGAATCGAGGTCGTAGTCCCGTATGTGTTTCCAGTTAGTTCTTTTTCTTGTGTGTAGCAAGTTCATTTTATCTCAAGATGAGGTGGGGTGAAAATTGGTTGGACGATTGGTGTGTAGTGTGTGACAAGATATCGGGTATATTCGGACATGAGTTGTCAATCTCTTGTGAGTGCGGGGTTCATTACCCTTTCCGTTGTTCTAGTCCTAGCAAAGATGTCATTTGTCGTGAGTCTTGTTCTCCATTTAGGAGTTGTGAGCATCTGTGGGTGGACAGACCTATGAGTGGTTTGTTATGCTGTTGGGGTTCATCGGTAAAGGTTCTGGTTGAATGGGTCGACTCACTCCCTTGGAGGGAGGTGGAGTCTTTGGTTTTTGTACTGCTCGTTTTGAGTGTGGTTTTGACCGGTGGTGTGTGAGACACGAATTATCGAATGGGGATTGTATGTTTTCAGTGTCTAGTACTGGTGGTGGCGGCAAGGAATTTGTCATGAATTAAATATTAAGGATGATTAGGCAATGTGATGTGATTCATGTATTTGGATGTTTCTATAGGTGATTGATTCTAGCAGTGTCTTAAGGACAGGTGTTGGCATTATTGAATGTTATGCAGATAGAGAATGAATGAGGGATTTCATTAAAAAATAATGGGAAAGAGTGACTTTGGTTATGAGGTTTCAAACATAAGATGGTCGTATTGTTTATTTTAACGAGGTCAAAATTGGATCCAATGGTGTTATGGAGTTGTTTACCTGGTATGGGTATTATGAGAAGATTAGAAAGCTTTGATGTTAGTCGATGATTGAGACATTTAGTGCTATGTTGTTTTTGTTTGTTATAGTTATGTGATTGAGATATGATTGGGATTTTGAGAATAAGTATATGACCGTATAGTTGTTGAGGTTACGTAGAGT